GTACGATGTAGCCAATTGGATTATTTTTAATCCTGCTGATGACTCTTAATACCTGTATCTTTTTTATTTCCCCCACTAGCCACTGATAGGGTGCCAAATTCCCATTATATATTGGTTTCTTATCTATAATGATTGTTTTCAGGCAATGAATCGAGAGTATACTGTAAGCGAGTTCAGGACAGTGGTAGATACATTGATTGAACTTGTGCCTGGGATGCAGATTGCAACTGATATAATTTGTGGATTCCCTGGTTAGTTTCAAATTTTGCTGCCTTTATAATGGTATTTTAACTTCTTTTTTTGCTTCCTCACATGGATTAATTTTTCACAATTTTCTTTGAAATGTTTGTCCACACTCCACTGTGAGTTGGTGAGGATTAACGTACTTGATAGTTACTAGTTGCTACTATACTTCAAATATTAATTTTTCGTGAGTTTGATCTGAAGGCATCCTTCTGGGCAGCAGCCTGTTCTAGGATTTGGATTTGGACAAAATCGATGTTTTCTGAAGTAACCCCAAAAAAGAAAATAAAAAAGGAAATAATTGAATTGATTTGGTTGAGCGAAGAAAATTTGTTCTTTTCTGGTAGAAGTAAAAGCATTTCTATCTATAATGTGTAGTTGTTTTATAATTCAGGAGCTTGGAATTTTTTTTGAAATCATTTGCAAAAGAATGGTTTTGTTTTTTTTTTCTTCTTCTTAAAAAGACTTTGAGGCTTTCATCACAATGTCTATACACTAAATAAAATATTAAAAAAAAATAAAGGTATAATACTTCCTTCTGTAGTGAAAGTCTGTGCAGTAAACAATTTAAAAGCTACTGAAAATATATATATATATATATATTTAGAGGCACAAGCTAAGAAGTAAACTTTGGAAATAATGCTCATTTCTTGGCTTCTCAGGTGAAACTGATGAAGATTTTGCTGAAACAGTAAACCTTGTTAAGGACTACAAGTTTTCACAAGTTCATATATCGCAATTCTATCCTCGACCTGGTATGCTGCTGTTGTTCCTGCAACACTCTTAATTCCTGTCAATACACTCTTTATTTATAATAGATAGCAAGAACCACGCATGTCATGTCTGTTTAACATTCTTATTTTTTTTTTTTTGGTCATTGTGACAAACTTGTTTTTATTTTCAGCTCATTTGTTGTTGAGGAACTGAACCAAAGTTGTGATGCAACTGAATTAATATTTTTGTATATCACCTGCAGTAGTTGATTACTAATATTAGGTAATGTTAATTTCTTTGAAATTGGAAAATTTGAAACTCTGCCAGCCTCACTTAATTTCAATGGCAGTCATTTTGATATAAAATTTAGAGTAAAGTGCTAAAAATCCTCCTGAAGTATTACCAAATCAGCAGAACACCCCCCTAAACTACAAATTTTACAAAAAAAAAAAACCCTTGTTTTATTTTGTTGCAGATTGCCCATTCCAGCAAACTTCCATTCATAAGTTACTGTTAAACAATGACGTGGCACACACTATATAATTTAATGACTATAATACCCTTGTGAGCATGAAAAGACTCTAATGCCCCTATTGTAACAATTACACCCAAACACCTCTTACCTGACTATTTACACCCAAACACACCCAAACCTAAAATCCCCAAATTCATACACTATATCAATTCCTCAATTTCGTAAATCTCTGTTCATCTTCTTCACTATCCTTCGGTTATATCAATTCCTCACGCCAAACAATTCCTCTCCTAACTGTACATACAAAGCTCTCAAAGAAATTGACATCTCGGCTGGAGTAAACTTCTTCATATCACAAAGAAGTTCTAAAGCAAATCAGATTAATAAATCAAGACCCACATATATCAAAGAAATATGTGTTCTAACATAGATTTAACACACACCCATTGTTTCTCAAAGCAAAGCCAATGCGATTTCATTCATCATCCATCACTTACATTCTGGCCTGTACAAGATCTTCAACGAGATCATGGTAAATGCCGCCTACAACAAGCAGTGTGATCCCTTCCGATCACCACTGTATCGGCAAAATTTAAAAGGTGGAAGGTGGTGCCTCTACGGACCACCATGAAGGAGAGATCGGCAGCAGAGGAGAGGGCAAAGAAGATGCAATTGTAGAGCTGTCATTCGCTTGGAAGAGGATTCGAACCACGACATTGATGGTGGAGAAGGCGAGAAGCCAAAGAAGATGTGATCGCAGAGTTGTCGTTTGCTTGGGAAGAGGATTCAAACCGCTACGTTCAGGGCCGATTGATCTCGTTTTTCAGTTGATTATAGCCCTTTTAGATCTCGTTTTTCAGTTGATATACCCTTTGTTTTTTTTTTTTTTTTCTGAGCTTTATATAGCTTTGTTGTCAATATTTCATTGGCCCATGAGATTACACTTTACACAGCATCAACTTAAGTGTATAACACTCGAAATTGCGTCATTTGAAATAAATAAGGGTAAATGTGTCCTTTAATTTTTCCGACCAAGTCAGTTGCCGGATTTTCCTTAAATGTGACAATCAATAGTTTAAGCGGTTTTTTTGTAGTTCAAGAGGGCTTTTTGCAACAGGCCAATAGTTCAGTTTTTTTTTTTTATTTTTTATTTTTTATTTTCCCCTAAATTTATGTTTTCAGTTTATTGTCCCTTAGAAATAATAGATATATATATATACACATATACTCCAGTTTTCCTTGTGATAGCTGTTCCTTTATGCTTTGCTTCTTTTCTGCAAATATCCGAGTGCTATTTTTTTCACGAAATCTTATTATTATTATTATTATTATTATTATTATTTTTTTAAAAAAAAAAGAGGAAAAAGAAAAAGAAATAAATATGTTACGACAAACACGGCGAACCCAAGAAACGAAGTAGAAAAGTAAGCACATCACAAACAAAGAACACAAAGATGTACCTACTTCCACGGTGAAGATCCGGCGAAAGTTTTCACTATGTGAAAAACAGGAGATTACAAGTTTCAGCCCCAAACCCTAGCTGTCACTCACTCTCACTCTCTTTTCTGTGATTTTCAATGTTTCTCAATATCCCATTCCAAACCCTAAACGTCAATCAATGGGTTGTTAGGTCGAAAACGGGTCAACGCGACCCGAAACCAAATTCGGGCCACAACATCACAAAATAGAATCAGTATTTTTTTATTATTATTATTTTTTATCCCAATTGGGAGTGAATCAATTTTACCTGCAACCCCAATGGTGGAGTCGTTGATCAAACTGTGTCGTGGCAAAGCAGAGGTCTCAGGTTTGATTCTCTCTCCTTGAGGTCAGCCTTAAAGGTTCTCCTTGAATTGAAATTGGCTTTTTTGTGGCATTAGGGCCTGTTACTTGTTTGAAGGGAAATAGTCCAACCCAAAGGGTTTTGACATACCTTTGGTTAAAAAAAAAAAGAAAAAGAAAAAGAAAAAGAAAATTACCCACTTTACTTGGTATAGATTATTCTAATTGCATATGAGCAGTTCAATAGTTCAAGTGGTTACTCGTATTATTATTAATGTGAAAGGCCAAATAAAATAAGGCCATTAGCCCATCCTAATCTCACCTACTAGGGTGTTGAGAGAGAAAAGTCTGGACACAAATATAACCACTGTTATTATTTTACAAAATAATAACAATGGTTATATTATGTACTGTTTGACTGACTAAGCCGAAGATCAACCACATACCTACTAACCCAATCCCTAACTAGGTTTGATGTCTAGCAAGGTATGCTAACCACAAAGAAGGTTTTTCCATTGAAAGTAATATATATATATTGTATCGGCAAGAAGGAATTGGCAGGGGTTTTGACAGTTTGAATTGGATTCCTTCCTCTCATGGGCGTTTTACAGTTAGGTCCTTGTTTTTCTGTCTGTCTAATTTTGCATCCTATGATTTTCCTTGGAAGACTATTTGGTGCTCCATGGTCCCTACTAGGGTGGCATTCTTTGTATGGACTGCTGTTTGGGGAAAGATTCTGACGATCGATAATCTGAGGAAAAGGGGAAATTTTCTTGTTAATTGGTGCTGTTTATGTAAGCAGAATGGGGAGTCAGTCGATCATCTCCTACTGCATTGCTCTGTAGCGCGCGATTGTTGGAATCTCATTCTTGGCCTATTTGGCATGTGTTGGGTAATGCCACGTTCTACTAGGGAACTAATTCATACTTGGAGAGGTTGTCGTGTGAGTAGGAGCGTTCGTGCTTATTGGAGATCTGTACCACATTGTATTTGGTGGTGTATCTGGAAGGAGCGAAATAGTAGAATGTTTGAAGGGAAGGAGTCGTCTACAGCGACATTGAAACTTTTTATCATTCCCTCTCTTTTTTGTTATGTGAACAGAAGTTCGTGTTCCTCTTCTGTTGATTTAATTTCTTTTCTGGATTCTTTGAGGCCTTGAACCCCGGTTCCTTTGTCCACGGGACGCGTTCCCCTATTGAACGCCCTTTTAATTTATTATTACTTATCAAATATATATATATATATATATATTGCAAATCCCAAGTAATATCATCAATACCAAGTAAAGTGGGTAATTTATTTATTTTATTTTATTTATTATTATTATCATTATTATTTTTAAATCCAAAGGCGTGTCTACACCTTTTGAGTTGGACTATTTCCCTTTAAACATGTAACAGCCTCAATGCCACAAAGCCAATTTCAATCCAAGGAGAACTTTTAAGGCTGACCTCAATGGGAGAGAATCAAACTAAGACCTCTGCTTTGCCACGGCGTAGTATGACCAACAACTTTACACCCTCAGGGTTGTTGGTAAAATTGTTTCACTCCTAATTGGGATTAGAAACTTGATTCTATTTTGTGATGTTGTGGCCCGATTTTGGTGTCGGGTCGCAACACCCTGACGACCTGATTTGGTCATGGAACGTGGACCCTAATTAGTCTCTTGTAGGCCGATATACAAGGGCGCTTAGAGTTTGGAGTGGGGTAAGAGAGAGACTGAAATTCGTATAGAAACAGAGTGAGGGTAATTTCCGATTTTGAAGACTTTTGCCAGATCCCAACCGTGGACGTAGGCTGTTGCCGAACCACGTATAAATCTGTGTTCTTTGTGTGTTGTGTTTACTTTTTTGTCGTGATTCTTGATTTTATCTTGGGTTCATTGCATTTGTCATAACATATTTATTTCTTTAGTTTTTGAAAAAACAAAAAAAAAAAATACTTCATGAACAAAATAGCACTCGATATATTTTGCAGAAAAGAAGCAATGCATCAAAATTTTAAGGAAAATTGGGAAAAATTATAAAATTGTTTCGAAGGGTTAATAAACTGAAAACATATATTTATGTCAAAATGACTTCCATTGAAACGAAGGTAAAATTTTATGTCAAAATGACTTCCATTGAAACGAAGTTATCCTAGTCCCACCTACTAGTGTGTTGAGAGTGGAAGTCTAGAGACAAATATAACCACTGTGATTATTTTTGGACAAAATGTCTACCTCGGGCTTAAACCTTTTCCTCCTTGCGAACTTGAGCTTTTATCATTACATCAAGCATTGACTCTATACACGCATATCTATATAGATAACTACATGTGAGTATATACATCATGTATACAACACCTATCATGGTTTAGAACTCTGCTGCTAATAGTATCTGTAGTTTACACTACCATAATGGTCCACAATATTGGTCCTAATGAAATTTATTTGGTGTTTAGATCATGAATTAAGTGATTAAAAGGCTTTTTGACATTCCAATTTAAGGTACAACAGTACTTTTTAAAACTGTTCACTTCTTTTAAGTTGATTTAGGATAGATCTACTTGATTTAGGTTACATTCATTTAGCTTTTAGCATGAATTGTATGATTCCTTATCTAGGTTTTCTTGATAAATTCCAATCTTGTAATTTAGTTTGTCATATTCTTATTTAAATTAATGGCTATTTTAGTTTTATCTAGAAAAAGTTGGACAAATAAATGTCTATGGAAACAACGTTTATTGTGTATGATTCCCTACTAACTCTCCTTAGATGCTTATGGATACGCGTCCGATACTTTATAAACGTATCCATAATTTTAATATAAGATTTTATTTCTAACACGTGTCTTTTATTTTTCAAATATTTCGACTATGTATATAATGCTTGAAGGATAATTTGAAACACATATTTAAGGAGTTTTGAATAGTAAAGTATACTTTATCATGAATAATATCATAGTATAACTGTGATAAAAAGTTCATTACTAATTGGTGTTGCACGCGTAAGAAGGATGAAGAGTTGGTAGATTGTCTCCTCTTGCATTGCCAGGTGGCCAGAGGCAGTTGGGGCTTGCTTTTGGCAATGTTTGGGATTCAATGGGTTCTGCCCTGGTCTCCGAGGGGTATGATTGAGGCTTGGAGAGGTTGTACAGTGGGTTTCCAAGCCTTCAACTTTTGGAGGGTGGTACCCTAATGTGTTTGGTGGTGCTTGTGGAGGGAATAGAATAGGAAATCTTTCGATGGAGAGGAGTTTGCTACTGGGACGCTGAAATTCTCTATTCTTAGTTCTCTGTTTTGTTGTGTTTCTTGGAGAAATTGTAGATCCATTGGGGAGTTAGTAGATTTTTTGGATATACTGGGAGTTTAGGGACCCTATTTGGTCCTTATTTTTCTTTTGTGGGCTGCGTTTCCCGCTTGAGCGCCTCTAATACAATCTTACTTATAAAAAAATATATATATTGGAAAATAAAATTGTTAAGAAAAGTTCAAATTTTTTTCTTCCTGAAAAAAGTAGTAATGAGATATGTATCATGACTAATATAGTACTTACAAAAAATATATATCTGACTAATTCCCAACTCTCTGTCTTGTTTGTCATAATCTTTTATAAAGAAATTTATTTATTTATTTATTTTTGGGAAGAATATTTTATAAAGAAATTTTAATAACAATTAATATGAAACATAAACAATTATTATTTTACTTAATCCATAGATACATATGGATATATTCATTTTTATACATATGTACGTTTCTATAATATATATATATATATATATATATATATATATATTGCTTTGTTTTTGTCATATCCATATCCCATTTTCTAAGAATTTGCTGTATCACCATATTCATATCTTGTCGTGACTATATCCTATGTCTGTGATTCATAGCTTAAAAACTAGTACAAAATATATCTCCATATAAACTCATGAGTATAAGTTGAACAAAATTCATTAATAATCATTAAAGACCCAATTTATGGGTTTCTGAAGTTAAATTATGCTTATGACTCTGTTTCAAGTGGATTTGCAATCAAATAGAAATTCTTAGCTCCTATATTTTCATCCATGGTACCCTTTCGCAATTCTTATGAAACCTTGATATGTATGTGTTTTTTTTTTTTTTTTTTGTTAGAGAAGTATTCACACACACATTTCACAAGTTGCCCACTGCGGGGCTTGAATCCCTCCTCCTCCCCTTTGAGGAAGGAGAGGTTATACCATTGGGCTAATGGCCCATTGGTTATATGTATGTGTATGCTACATATATATATTTATATATAATATAACCAACGGGTCAGTGGCCTAGCAGTATCAGCCTCTTACTTCCCAAAGGGAGGTCAAGGGTTCAAGTCTCAATAGAGACGTGTGTGTGAGTACCAACTATGAAAAAAAAATAATTTATATATAATTTAATAGATAAGTGACTCATGCACCCAACTGTTATCCCCAAGTGGAATCGATTACTCAACCTTTCATTTGGAAGCAGGAAATACGACTTGAGCCAAAGGATTGGTGGTGCTACTTATACTTTCATTTGAAACAATAGCTGAATAAAAGGGCATTTACATATGACATTTAGTATTATTTTACTCAGTGACATTACTTAACTTTCCCTTTTATTAATAATATGTTACTAATAGTTGTTATTGTATTTTGAATGTTTACTAGTCTGTATACATTTTTTTTTTCTTTCCCGTGGGAGGGTTGGTGATTCCAACTACAGTACCATTTGGCTGACACCCTCCATAAGCTCACCTTAGTTTGCTTTCATTATTGTTGTATAATTGTTGAATATTATCGCATTTGCAAAAGCCATTCTATGTAATTGATGATAATGAGCTGGTTGTTTGGGAACTTTTGTCCACTTATTGCATGTCATGAGTTTAACACCCAATGCCTTATTTTTTTCTTTCTTCTTTTTAATTTTTACCTTCTAAAGGAGTATCTGATACCCCCAGTTCTTGAAGTTGAAACTCACATGGGTGGAACAGACAGTGTTAAATTGGTTGGTTCAGCAGATTTCAATGGGGTTGTGCTATACTCTCAATATAGGACTAAAATATTAGGCCGGGATGGATTTTTGGACTCGAATGTATTTTGGTCTTGAACAATCTGAATTTCATGTTTTCAGTACTAGAATAATTTTGAAGATCCGAAAATATATTATGATGTTGTTTGGTGGGTTATTCATTTTCATTGAGGCAGAAAATATATCTGAAAATATATTACATGATGTTGTTTGATAGGCGTATCCCCTTACGATTGAAAGGGGAATTCTGTCGAACAACTATTAGACCAGCCATACTTGATGGTACCGAATGTTGGGCAGCTAGGAAATAACATTTGCATAAAGTGAGTGGCAGAAATGCGAATGTTGTGATGGATGTGCAGTAAGACTAGAAATGATCACATTCGAGAGATGGTTGGAGTAGCACCAATTGGTGATAAAATGAGAGAAAATCGGTTAAGATGGTTTGGACATGTGCAATGAAGACCTTTAAGTGCGCCGGTTAGGAAAAGTGACATAGTACTAGGGGAAGAGGAAGACCAAAGTTAACGTGGGTAGAGTTAGTATAGAAAGATTTGATAGCATTGTGGATTGACTGAGGCTATGGCCTTAAATAGAGCGGAATGGAAAGATGGGATTCATGTAGCCGATCCCAAGTAATGGGGAAAAGACTTGGTGGTTATGGTTGTTGCAGAAAATGATGCCTCAGTTGGAAAATTTTAGTGTAGGCAGTCATCCATTTAGGCGTGGTTTTTTGAGATTCAGCTGTCTGAAGAGCAGGGGATTTGTACTGGGAATGATATCTGAATATATGGAGTATATAAATTAGCAAGATTTTCTCAATTTCAACCTTTAGAAATTAGGTTCCTTTGTTTAAATGCAGGTAATTATTAGTTGGGACTTTGGAGAAGGCTTTACTGAGTTGTGTTGATTTTATGTTTAAATACAGGTTATCCAACATTACTGTCCTTCCAGTGTGAACATTCTTGTATCTTGAGCAGTCTTCTGATAAGCATCTACGGTTCATTGTATTAACAATCTATCATAATCAAGTTTCAGAAAATTTTGGATTAAATTTAGATTTATTTTTATTTTTATTTTTATGTAAATGTCTATAATCCAATAAAAATTGTTATTGTGATTTCAAAGTATCACATTAGGTAGTAAGTTGTTTGCCATGCAGTTATTATCCGTGTTTGGTGGCCAAATGCTGGGTTTTATTATTTCCTTTACTATGATGCTAAAACTAAGATTAATTGGCCAATTATATTCTGTTTCTTGGTAAAATGTATTTCTGATATTCTTGAATCTAGGAACCCCTGCTGCAAGGATGAAAAAGGTCCCAAGTACTATAGTGAAGAAACGAAGTCGTGGATTGACTTCTGTTTTTGAATCATTCACACCATATAGTGGAATGGAAGGCAAAGTAGAGAGAATATGGATTACTGAAATTGCAACTGATGGATTTCACTTGGTAAGACCTTATAAGCACACTGAATCTGGTGATGTGAAGTTTATAGATTTCTTTGTCACTTGAGTCGTGGCACAGGTTAAAGCTTGTGTCCCTACGTATATAATGGCAGTTTGAATGGTGTTTGGATGACATGGCCTATATAGTAAATGCTTCTCATGCTAGGCCCCAAAGGTTTATAATATATATGTCTGTTTATTATAGTCCAGTTGGGAAGCATAATTCCTTCTTCTAGTTAAGCAAGGTTAAACCACTTACTCGATATTCTTGTCACTTAAAGAGTGTGTTCTATAAAAACCATTTGCGTGAGCATCCTCAATTTCAAAGCGTAATGAAATAATAAAAGGCCAGTCAAGCATCCATTAATGCGCATGAACGAGTTTGATTTTCACGTGTGATGTGTAAATGTGCTTTTGTTCCTTTATCTAACTGGGTGTTCCCTTATGGGCCTAGGTGGGTCATACCAAGGGATATGTGCAGGTTCTGGTGGTTGGTCCAGAGAGCATGCTGGGGACTTCAGCTATAGCAAGGATAACCTCTGTAGGAAGGTGGTCAGTTTTTGGTGAAGTGATCGAGACTCTTAACAAAATAAATATCAATACGGAAATGGCTTCAAGCAAGAGAAGTGGCAGTGGTGACAAATGTTCTCCTTGCTCCAACCCAGATGAGACTTGTTCAATAGAGCAGGAAACTTGTGCTTGTGGGCAGCAAAGCTGCAGAGGAGAAAAAACGTTGGAGGAAACCACATCTTCGGTGTCGAAGATTGACTCGTGGCCAGAAGACCGAAACAGCCAAAACCTCATTGGATGGTTACTTAGGAAGCGGAGAAACCATTCACAAAAGAGGATGGAGAATGGGATCGTTTTAGAATCTAAAGGGAAGCAAGAGAGACCCAGAGGACGCATGCACGAGTGGGGGCTTGTTGATACTGCTCTTTTGGGTGGAATGCTTATGAGCTTGTTAACAATTGTAGTTCTACTTCTATATATGGGATCTAGGAACCTGGCGTCAAAATAATTGATTATTGTATGAATCGTACTTGTTCAAACAAGTGGGCACTTTCATGAAAGATTGCCGAATATGAATCTGCATGAGAAATTTTGGTTGTTTCGAAGATTTTAATTTGTTCTTATTGACAAAGAGCCCGATTGCAAATGGATTATCTGAATTTGGAGCAATAATAGTGCGTTCTTTTTCTTGTTATATTTGCTTATTTTTTCCCCTCTAATTTGCTGGCTTTGCAATAGCTAAGCTTCTGCTCTGAAAATTGCTTGGGAACCGAAGATCAGCTACTTCCCTCAGCTGGCTTTTGGACATTGCTTGTTATCACTAGAGAAATTAGTAAGTACACTAATACACTTTTTAGCTCATTCATCAAAATCTTGAACAATTGCCAAAAAGAATGGTTGGTCTAGTACATGGGATTGAAGAATACAGTACTTGCATGTGCAGAAGTGAGATTCTTCTGTTGTTTGGGGCAGCAAGGCAAGGTAAAATGGGCACATTATTGCTTTTCCTTTTCTGCCCTTGATCTGCTGCTATGACTTTACTGGATTTATTTACTGAACCATTTTTATGATTTACACAAGATGAGTAAATGGGTGGGTTTGTGTTCTCCATGTCATAGAAGCATATCTGACTTGCCTGGCAATCTCTTGAAGAAATTGACAGGTACAGATGGCATCCTGCTCCTGAACCTTGGATGCCGCAGCAAGTAGAGCCCAGAAAGCACTGCAATAACTTGGAATGGAGTAACATAGAGGAGTACAGCCCAGATCAATGCAAAGATAATGACGATTGCAGTGGCTCTTGGATCCCTCCAGCTCAGTATGGACAGAGCTCTCTCCCCTTGTGTTGCTAAATCTCCAACCACTGTCTGCACTTTGCCTGCCACGGTTCGCAGCCTGTCATACCTCATCCTCACAATGTCTGTTGGCTGGGAAGATGGGAATGTGTCAAATTCCTCAATCAGCTCATCTGGGTGGACACTCTCTGCTTGTGAAAGTCGCGCATCCATGTGAGGCGGATGCCTAGGCCTGAATCGGTAATTCCATAATCCAATCGCAAACATGTAGATGAAAATGGTGGGCAGGATCAATTCCGGGTAGCAAACCAGTATCAAGAACAAGACATGCACAAGAATTGTTGTCAGTGGGTTTCTCCAGATGCAGATGTCACCGAACCATTTACAGACAGCCGAAATTCCAGAAAGAAGAGACATTATGCGATAGAAATTGGCTCTGCTTCGCCTTAGGCTCCACATGTGGTAATCCACATCCAGCATGTACTCAACGATCTCCCTCCTAAGCGGTGGTTCTGCTCTGGCCAGGCGTGCTGCCACTATCTGCATTGCCTGGTGGCGAAGCAGATCAATGTGGCGAACCGATATGGGTTGGACATAGTGCATTTTTGGAAGCAAAGGCTTACCATATTGTGCCACCATGTTAACCCAAGCCGTGCAGGTGAACCTCAATGACAATTGAAGCTCCCCATGTTTCTTTAAACCAGAGGGTTGTAGAACCAGCAACGGATAGTAATGGCAGTAAATTCGATCAGTTTCTAAAGTGGAGAGCCTAATTCTCACCTTCCCAATTCTCTGATCTCTGGCATCTTCTTTGCTTCCATTGATGTGGCAATTGTCAAACACGCCAATGGTGATCACCGTGCTCGAATCATAAACTTCCCATGTGTACTGCTCGTGCCAACGAGGGGCCAGGGTGTTAATAAGTGTTCTGGTTCGAATCCATTTGTTCCCATACTTGGCTACACAGTAAGCATCTGTGGTTCCCTTCATTGGCAGCAGATTTTTGGCACTCAAGATGCCAAGTTCAAGAATTCCAATGCTGGGCTTTCTCAAATGCTTCGATGATGGCTGCAGATTGCTGCTAAAATGTGTAGACTCGTCAAGAACATGGTACCCGGATTCCAAAACGAGGCGAAGGTGAATTTTGCTCGAAAATTTCACTTCTTTCTTCTTGTCACCTTCTTCTTCCCCCGAGGACGGCTTGTGGAGGTTGAACCAGTGAGCCTCAGGGTGTTTAGTAGAGTCCACCCTCTGCGGTATGTCTCTAACCGACATGATCAGCCTTCCTATGACTTCATCCTTGCCCGGCCCAATCCTGTCCTCAACAGAGATGATTATGAACTCATCAAAAGGCTCAGACACTACAAACATGAGCTCCTCATCCCACACCGGATTAATATGCCGCAATTGGGAAGTCTTAGTGTTCCTGATCTGATGCCCAAGCTGCACTCTTACATATGTTTCCGGGGCTCGGGTTTTATCAGAGATGACAAGGTCCTGTGCTTCAAGAAGGTGGACTCGGAGGTAATACAACTTAGGTGAGAAATAAACTTTGGAACGAGTATTGTCGAGGCTTTGTTGGCTAATGGAGTGTGCATCAGCATGCCATGCCTCCGGGAAGGCCTCGTCGGCCTGTGTCCCCATCCAAACTGCCAGCATAATCTCTCCATTATTATCCTTTATCCCCCTTTTGTCCTCCAATCTGTACCACTGAGGAGCCAAGGGACTATCCGGTGGCACGCGAAGAGGCACCTCCAAGACATCAAAAGTAACCCTCCCCACAAAATCATCCTTGCCGATGTCTTTGTCCTTCACTACAACTTCGATCAAATTCGCCTGCAACCTCTCCTTTGGGAAGGCGAAAACTCTGTTCCATACAGGGTTTTGGTTCTTCTCCAAGTGCTTTGTGACCCCTTTGTAATTCCCAAGTTTCACTTCCACATATGGGTCCAAACTTCCTGTGATGTCCATCACTGGTAAGTCTTTGGCCTTCACAACGCTCACATACATGAAGTGCATTTGCTCCACCAAGTCATAAGTGGTCCACGTCTTGTCTCCTCCCCGGCGGCCCATACGCGCCGCCAACGGCGGCCTAGTTTCCACCAACCCAAAATCAGGCCTCTGCCCTGGAAACTGCTGCATCTGCATTATAGTGGCACCCGGGCCAGGCCCGGCCCGGGCAAAATCGCTTCTCACCGCCTCCACCGACACCGGCTTCGCCCCGGAAAGGGGCGAAAAACCACTCGCAGGTGGTGGTGGTTGTGGAGCAGCAGCTGGGCCGCCGCCACCACTACCAGTCCCAACCGAGTAAAAAGTCCTCACCTGATCTTTTTCCTTCTTTTTCTTCTTCGTGAAGTCACTAGTAGTCTTGTGCAACAAATCTTCGTCAACAACTTTATTGCTGGTTTTATTGATCATTTCTTCAAAAAATGTCGGAGCTTCCTTACTTTCCAAGTTATTCACCTGCTGTGGCTCAGTCTGGTAGAACTGATTGCCGTTGATTGCTGCATATATCTTGAGTGCTATGTCACCCTTGATATGAGAAAACAAGCCACGTTTCTCAAGCGGGAAGCGTTGGACGGCGGCTTCGGACTCGGAGGTCGGAACCGCGACGCCGGAGATCTTGACACGGCCGAGGAAGTGCTTTGGGCCATCTTTCCGGTCACTGTACACCGTCACGCCGATGGTCTTGTGTGGAAGATCTCTTGGGTTGTTGACACTGAACACCATCTTCTCATTCCACTGTGGGTTGAGATCTTTGGACTTGGTCTGCGTTCTCTGTTTCTGGTCATCCAAGTCTACTTCTACAAATGGACTGGCCGTGCCTTGTCCATCTTTGGGCATGAGATCGCTGGCGTCGAGAACTTCTACTACTAGTTTCGCCATGGGCGCAGGAGTTAGACGTCACTCGCCGGAGATTTAGATGAAGAATTTGACGTAAAAGGAAAGGTAAAGAAGTGGGTAGAGAGAGAGAAGAAGAAGACAGAAATAGGGTAGGAGAGGGAGAGGAGAGGTGGAGAGAAATAGTAGGGTGTGGGGATAGAGGTTATTTTAGAGTAAGAAGACAGAAACATGTGTTAGAGAGAGAAGATGGTGGCCCCCTGAGTCAATATATCTTCCAACTGGGGGATTCTGGTGGGTACATATGAATGAGAGAGAGAGAGAGAGAGAGAGAGAGAGAGAGAGAGAAGTGGAGGGTTTGAATGAGATTATGTTTTGGTGGAGGAAAAGAATTTCATTTTTTATTTAATTAAGGGGGGTGAAAGTGATCATCAAGACATCAATTCACTTCATTCATGGGAGGTTATTATTATTATTTTTTTAATTTTATTTTATTATAAAATAAAAATAAAAAGCAATCTATCCTGTTTGGCCGATATGCTTTTGCATGGTGTTTTTTTTTTTTTATTTGTGTAATGTAGCAAAGTAGCACGAAACATGTTTAATAAAACGTTTGATGTCATTTGAATAGTATTCAAGCATTTCTAAAATTGAGGTTAAAATCAAAAGCATCAAAATGATACTTTTATTTGTTTCCGCACCATAATAAAATATTATCTTTTTAAAAAAAAATTCTATTTTTTAACTACCTATTCAAACTTGTAATATTTTTTACTAAACATGTTTTATTATTTTTGTTTTTAAAAAACTTGTAACAAATTAAAGTTACCAAAGAAATTTTGAAATAATATTAAAAATACTTTAAAACGAAAATATTATTTTTGCTTAGGATTAAAACACAAAGAAACTAAGGTTGCCAAAAGAAAATTTTTATTAAGATTTTTTATTTATTTATTTTTGTTGTCAAAACTCAAAAGCATGTTATTTACTTTTTACCAACCTTTCAAGGGTATTAGGCAGATCATTATTAATACAACACTGTCGGTAGCTGTCAAGTCTTTGGAGGCCTAAAAGGCACACGACCAGATAATCCTCCTTTTGAGGAAAAAAAATAAAATTCTTTTTAAAATGATTTAATTATGTTTAGTTAATGTTTTATTTTCTTCACTCAGACCCCATTTCTGACTTATTATTCTTTTTTCTGTTTATAATTTGGGAGCATTATTTATTTGATTTTTGGTGCAGACTGCTGACCCGTTGGATCAGAAGGATTTCCTTCTTTTTTCAGCAAGGCCAGTTTTAATCTTCTTCTAACAATTGGTATATTTTATATATATATATATATTATTGTATTTTTCTTATAACAACAATGACAATTACTTTTAACCATCCCTTTTAAATGGTATACTTGAAATACTATCTTCGTCAATTCTTTTTTTGGAAGTGTTGCAACTACTTATTTTGAATTGGACAGAAAACTACATATGCAACTCATAATAAAACACTACATTGATAAGATGAGTATGGCGAATTTGATTCTTTTATTTATCACCAAGATGATTTATTTTCACTACACAATTCTGATTTGATTGGAGTGCCTGCCTAAATTAGAGTAAAATTTTGGAGGTTCATGTAAATAATAGGAAATTGATTCGATTTTATTATAATTATTTTTTTCATAGCAACCGTGTTAGGGTTAGTGGGGAGGGGTGTGGTGAAGGCTCAAAATCGGGCTCCCGGTAACAACAAGGAGCAATTCTACCGCTTGGGTCACGAAAGCATTCGTAAATTGGATTACTCACAATTTTTTTTTTTTTTTCTTCTTTTTTTTCAACTTTCTTTCTTTCATATATATATAGACACACACACACACAACAACCATTGCAAACTCTTGATACACTCAAAAACTTGCAAATCACTTGCAGCATTTAAGTTTAAACCTCATCTTTGGTGAGTCTTGAATCGAATCCCAAAGGGTCGTACTCGTTGAGTTAGATCGGAATACTTTTATAGATTTTTTTCTTATCTATTTTTTGAATTTACTAAAATACCCATTGTTTAGCTACCTTACGTATTAAGTTATATGTTTGAATCCAACCCATAATTCCATAACAGAATATCCATGGATGGAGTTCCTCCCACATTCTCTGACTTTTCTTTTACTCCCTTTTCCTCTTTGTTTTGCTTGTATGTGTGTGTGTTCCATTGCATTATTAAAAAGGTCATAGAAGATATGTCCAAGAGCAACCCCACAACTTTCAAAAAGTTTCCATATGGTAATGGAACAATCTGTGTAAAGTTGAAAGCAGACTTATCATTTTGCATCTTATTCTAGAGTACAATGAAGTAGTGCAAGGAATTACACAATCTGCAATCATATAGGGTATACACCTGCATCAAATTTAAAATAATAAAAAAAAAAAAATTAAGACGTGTTCAGTTTCATGAGATTGGAATTTTTGAATTGAAATTTGTAAAATTGGAGAAAAACAAACTCACAAAATTAAATTAATTTTTTTTTTTTAATTCCACCAATTTCAATTTCAAAACTCCAATTCCATACAATAGAACACAACCTAAAATATTTCTATGTCTATTCAAATCTTAGTGTCTATCCATCACCGGCTTAATTTGTATGATAAATGAACATAATTGAATTTGAAATGATGTTTACATGGTGTCCAAAATTCGAGCAACTTTGAAGTTACGAAGGGCGACAATTCTTATCTTATCGAGTGAATCATGACATACCCTTCAAATCGAAGGTTCTAGATTATTAATGAAGTAGTGCAATGAAATTGAAAATTTTGAATTAGAATTTGTAAAATTAGAAAAAATTAACTCATAAAATTGAACTAATTTTTTTTTCAATTTTATTAATTTTAATTCCAAAACTCCAATTCCATATAACTGAACACAACTTAAAATAATTGTATGCCTATTCAAATCATTAGCATCTATCCAAAACCGGCTTAATTTTCATGATAAATGAATGTATTTGAATTTGAAATGATGCCTCTCATGAACGTGTCTTCTAATTACATGTTGTCCAAAATTCAAGCAAGTTACTGGGTGGTGACAATTCTTATCTTATGAGTAAGTCATGACAAATCTTTCAAATCCAAGGTTCTAGATTATTGATTGAGGTAGTCGGGAAATCACTATCGTGAATTGTTGTGTCACGCTTGACCTTTTAGATGAAAAGAAATAAAATTTGAAGGATTTTCATTTGTTTTTTGTGGAATTGGGATAAGAAAGGGTAGTATTGTAATTTGAAATGGACGGTTCAGAAACCTCTTGGAGAATATGCAGTGGGGCAGGGAAAGTCTGCGTCGAAGGGCACTAAGTGGAGAGGGGTAGCTTTCAAGGTTATGGAGTGTTTGGTTGACTCCTAGGAAGAGAGTGGCAGTTGAAACTTGAAATGAAAACAAAACTTGATAATAAAGGGTTTTATTTATTTTTTTAATTTCCAAAATTTTAATATAGTACAATAAAAATTATAGGATATCTGGAGTACCGATAATTTAAGAATATCTCTATTGTCTATATATATATATATTTGTGTAAATTTAATGTGTTATAAAAATGACAATATTTGACGCGACATAAAATTAGAGAATTTGAATTTGAGTTAATTATGTTCGTGTCATCATGATAGGGGCGGGGCCTAAGAGACTACCCCAAAAAAAAAGTTTTCAATATTTTTGTAATACCTTTAAAATTTTAGTTAATTCACAAATAAATTTAATTTATGGTCCTAAAATACATTGAATATTTTAGATTGCAAAAAATCCCCCCTTTACTTGTAGTCATTAGCAATAAAACCCCCTTTTGAATTTTTTTTTTACGCAAAACCCCATCAACTAACAGAAGGGGGTGCTCAACTATTTTTGAGACAAAAACGTCCCTTATTTATTGATCCACTGTGTTGTCGTTCTCATTCCTTTAATCTTCCATTTTCCACATACTTTTTTTTCTCTCTCTCTTAGCATACATACCGTGTTACATAATAGAATAAGTCATATATAAGAATTTATCATTCAGCGGCGACCAAGAGCTCATTTTTATACAAATATATCTAATATTTATCTATATTAATATTCACACCCTTTTAATAATTGCTAATGGGAGCTACTAGTCACAATGAGTTAGCCAATTATTTTATAAAAATAATTGTTATACATTTTAAATTTCATCAAATATACTTGTATGTCGCTATATCAAGTAAATAAATTTTAAGGATTTCACATGTCTATAATGTGGGGTCACTGTAGCACAACCATTCTCTTATTACATGGGCAAAGAAAAAGTAATTCATTATTTGCAAACCAGGTTCACAGTTCAAAAGACGAACAAAAACTAAGCAAAAGAATAAGAAGGTAAAAAAAAAAAAATTTAAAAATCAATGGACTAGTACAATAATAAAGTGAATTAAAGACTCCACAAAAAACATATGATTAATCACAAAGAGTGGATCATAACTCTTAGTCTAAAGTAGTATATGTTGGTCCTTCTAAAGAAATGCATTTTTAAGACGAATGGATGTGTGTATTGGAAAATTTTGCTCATTAAATGATCGAAAAGTATTAACAAACACAACTTTTATGTCATGGGTTAACTAAAAAACATATACACTCCAACTTTTAGGGTCACGTTCATATAAACATTTGAACAAATCATAAAAATGATTTGTGCAAATCTGCATGTCAGGTTTCACATTATTAATAAAAAATAAATAATAATATAGATATATTTAATAGAAAAAAAAAATTAATATATATATAGTTGAACCAATTATATGATCTCTCCAGCTAATTATAATTAGATCACTGTAAACAGGCAATGGGCTTTTTTGTCTCAAAAGTAATTGAGTACCCCCAGTTAGTTGAAGGGGTTTTTGTGCCAAAAAAATTCAAAAGGTGAGTTTGTTGCAAATGGCTATAAGTTAAGGGACTTTTTTGCAATTCGCCATTAAATCTAGTACAGGTATTTATAATAACGAATAAATAATAATATATATATTTATTAGAAAAAAATATTAATATAGATATAGTTGAACTAATTATATGATCTCTCCAGTTAATTTACACGGTAAACAGGCAAGGGGCTTTTTGCCTTAAAAATAGTTGAGTACCCCCGGTCAGTTGAGGGGGGGTTTTGTGCCCAAAAAAAAAATCAGTGAAGGATTTTATTTTTATTTTTATTTTTTTTTATTTTTTTTACAATTCGAACTTGTTAGCAACTTTCTTAAAAAAAAAAAATTAGAGATAAATTTCTAA